TATATTATATTAATTTATTGAGATTAAATGATTTAAGAAATGATATAGTGGGAAAACAACTGGCATCCTAAAGATCTTACACAGAAAAGTGAAAAGCATGGAACAAGAAACGGCAGAATATTATTATGTTTGCTTTTGTAGGTGGATTCATTTAATTCCTCACCTTTTAAATCTGTGCTCTTTAACGGCACTCAAAAGTAAAATATAAAGCTTTCCACCTTTAGTTTAGATTAGCCCCTAAGATTTATTTTTTAAGGATATTTCCATAAACAACACATAGTTCTTATCTATTTATATATCCAACACCTAAATTTCATATTTACACACTTAGGGTCCGTTTGCGGTAGTCGTCTGGCACTGCACCGAAGTTTTATATGTTTGGGTAAATTATGTTTTGACAATTTTTTCAAAAAACTGCAGCTAAAATCTGCGTTTTTTCACATGTCCTGACTAGGTGTGGTGACACTTTTCAAGCTACAGCCTGACTATTTACAAAAAAAAAAAAATGTAATAGCCACTGTAACTTTTTTAACATCAAATTATTTTTAAACAGTTTCACAACTGTTTTTAAATACGCTGCAGCCGACCCAAATCCATTTGGTGCTATGGTGCCACACTACATCGAAGTTGTCTCTTTGGGTAAATTGCGTTTTAACAACTTTTTCAAAAAGTTTTTGTCCTGAAATCTGTGTTTTCTCATCACTCTTGGCCAGGTGTCGCCAGTATTTACAAAAAAAAATTGTAACGACCACCAAAACTTTTTGAAAATCAAATTATTTTTCAACAGTTTCACAACTGCTTTTCAAAAAGCTACATGTATATTAAGAAAAATATTCAAAATCACGACATATTAATTTTTTAGAAATAAAATATTAAATATGCAGTATGTAATTTTTACTTTATTTTTTAGCTTTGCAATCTAATTTCTTAATTCATAATTTAATTTTGATTAACAATTTATTTTTACCAATTAACTCACAGAAAAAGTGATTATTGGTTCGCGTTTTGGACCGCGGTTATTAAGAGGCGATAGAAGTAAAGCAGTAAAGGAAATACAAAATGGTTTGATGACGTGGGCGTTCAGCTTCTGCTTCTGCCGCAGTAGTTATGTTCAGAGTCCGTTAAAATTTCAGCACTGAACATGCGTGAGAGTTTGGAATGGAATTTTACCCTTTTTTTTTTATTATTTTTATATATTTTTAAAATAAAATATAAATTTTAAATTTATATAAGATATGATTTTCATGTATTTTTGAATATTGAGAATAATTTGAAAATAATGATGGGAAATTACTTTAGATAGTTAAAATATATAATTATAATTTTTATGATTTTTTTATTTATTCGTGTATATATTTGTTTTTGATACGAGATCATCTTATAAGTTATATATAAGGATATGTTTGAGATAATTGTAGTTTATTAAAAAACAGTTGTGAATGTGCTGAATAATAAATAGGTGCTCAAAAAACTGCGGTGACTGTTGTAAATCTTTTGTTTAAGTCAGACTGCAGTTAGAAAACTGCCACCATACATATTCATGAGTGATGAAAAAAAAAGATTTCAACGGCATATTTTTCAAAAAAACTGTCAAAACGCAGTTTACCCAAATAGATAAAATTGCGGTGCGATGCTACACGTCATCGCTGCCGCCCCCAACGAACCCTAAGAAAATCACTTTTTTCGATCTTAGTGTATTATTTATTTGATATTATTTAAAAAATATATGTCATTAAGTAATTTTAGATTTAAATTTTTTATCGATTATTTTAGCTACAATCAATACTTATTAATTACAATTGTAACTCATTTTAATAATAACAAATGAGCTATTTCACTGAGTTACTCGACGAAGCCCTAACATCATATAATAATTAATTGCACATCGAGCAAATATAACATTATTACGAGCAGTCGATGAAATTAAGAGCTCAAAAGAAAGCATTTCATGCTCTCAAAAAAGAGAATCTTCGGAACTAAGGACTAGGACGGTCAAAAAGCTCGTTGTTTATAAACAACTGCATTCAATTCATTAAGCAACTCGTGTTCACATCGTTCATTAAGTCATTTCTTAAGCTTAATTAAACAATACATGTAGCATGTTAGATTCAAACATGCACCAACTTGTGTAACAGAAGACACAATCACACCAATTGAGCATGAACAGGAAAACATAAATCGAGTCAAACACAAACACATTGTTCACGAGACAATTTCAAACAAGTCAAACCTCAACACACTCAAGCTCAGCTCGTTTACAACCCTACCAATAACTTTCACTCTAAACACTACAATAACACAACGGGTCCCACCTAATTTATCCCTATGAAATCTTTTTAAGCAAAACTTTTCCATATCCACCCTAAGAAAAAATATATTTTGCATATTTTACTTACCAAAGTAAAATAATAGTAATAATAATTACAAATCACCCCCCTCCTTGTCCTAACCACAAAATGACGGCCAATAAATAGCAATGCAAGATGAGAAATATAGCAACCCAACTATTTCCATTAAGTTCTTGAGCTACCTTTCATCAACTGGGCCCCACCCCATTACTATTCCCAACTAACTCCCCCGCTCCCCCTCTCCTCCTATAACAAACCACCCATCGTCTTCCCCAATCTCCCCCCACCACCACCGCCGCCGCCGCCATGGCTACTTCCCCTCTCCTCCCAACCGCCCTCTCCCTCATCATCCCCATCCCCATCCTCCTCCTCTTCATCTTCCTCGTCCTTCTCCCCCGCTCCACCTCCCCTGCATCAAAGCAGCTCAAACTACCCCCCGGCCCCCCG